TAGCCACTGCTGGGCGTCTCTGTTGAACCTCCTAGGTCCGTCCAAGACCTGTCAGGAGGCTGTCCATTCCCTGAACCCCGTTCTGTGTCCGGGCTTGTGTGGGTTTCTGTACTTTCCCAAAACTCAGTTACTCCCTGATTTGGACTAGAGGTGTTGTAGTCGGGACTTGGTTCCTCGACCACCTCCCTGTATGTTTGACCCCCTGTAGGATTTGGGGTAAGGCCAACCTTGGGAATTGTGTGCCAGCTCTCTTGCGGGGAATGATTTGTTGGGATGCCCCCGGGTATCCTCCGAGACTGGAGTGCTGTGTGATGTGTGTGGAAAGTGAGTATGCCACCGGGGTGACTCCCAGGCTGGAGTAGGCGTGGATGCCTGGTAATTAGGTAGGCTCATAGAATTCTTGTTCGGAGCTCTCGCGGAACCCTGGGATGGGCCATTTGTAGCTCCATCAGTGGAGATGGGCAGCAGCTCGTGCCCTTCCCTTTGCTCCAAAGGGTCCCCCTCCCCCCTGGAAAAGACCCAGGAGTCTCATCTGAAAAGTCCCGCCGAGGGCGGAGTTGGTCGATGTGCCGACGCAGGACACGACCGTTGTCCAGGGCTACCTCATAGGAGAGAGGACCTGTGACCCTGGAAATAGAAGCGGGGACCCATGTATGACCAGGCCCGTAATTGCGAGCCCAAACCGGGGCACCCACAAGTAGTTGTCTAGGTGCCCTAGGATGTGAGGTAGATGAAGGCAGTCTGTCCGGATGCAACCGGTCAAGTTTAGTAGTAAGTTGACGCCCCCAACGAAGTTCAGCTGGGCTTCTCCCTGTAGAAGTGGACGGTGTGGTGCGATAAGAAAGGAGAAAGTCAGCCAACCTGTGATGCCAGTCCCCGTAGGTGAGTCTTTTCAATGCATCCTTTGTGATGCGCACCATACGTTCAGCCATACCGTTGGTGGACGGGTGGAAGGGTGCAGACGTGGCATGACGAATCATGTTTGCCTGTAAGAAAGCTTGGAATTCGGAGGAAGTGAATTGAGGGCCGTTGTCGGACACAATGACATCTGGCAGCCCGTGTGCAGCAAAAATCCCCCTCAGTACCTGAATAGTCTTTGCAGTGGTGGTGGATGAGACAGGCACAACCTCAAGCCATTTTGAATGGCTGTCAACAAGGACCAAGAAGAACTGGCCCTGAAAGGGCCCAGCGTAGTCAATGTGCACCCTAGACCATGGGGACTGTGTTTCCTCCCATCTATGCACGGAGCTTGGGGCATCTCTGGGCGAGATCGTTGGCACAGGTGGCATGCATGCACCTTAGCCTCAATATCTTTATCTAAACCAGGCCACCACAAGTGGCTGCGCGCAAGAGCCTTCATACGAACAATGCCAGGATGACCCTCGTGGAGGGATTCTAAGACCCTAGTCCTCATTGAGGTGGGAATGACAACTCTGTTTCCCCAAAGCAGACAACCCTGAGAAAGGGACAGCTCGTTCCTTTTGGACCAGAAACTCTGAAACTCAGGACTAGGGCAGTGCTCAGGCCAACCAGACAAAACCCAGGAACGGACACGTGAAAGTGTGTGATCTGTACCTGATTCAGCGGCAACATCCCTGGCACTAAGAGGGAGCTCGGGCAAGGCTTGGATTGATAGAATGTTGACAGCTGGCGCAGGGTCAGCTTCTACTACTGGCAGAGGCAATCTACTGAGGCCATCAGCATGGCCCATTTCTTTTCCAGGCTTGTGGAGTAAGGAAAAGTCATATGCAGACAAAAAGATAGACCACCTAAGCATTCTAGGGGAAATGATTTGGGGAGTCTGCTTACGTGTGGTAAACAGTCCCAGCAGAGGCTTATGGTCAGTGAAGACCGTGAAGTGCCTGCCATATAGAAAGTCATGGAATTTTTTAATTCCAGCAACAACAGCCAGAGCCTCCCTGTCTATCTGAGCGTAGTTGCGCTCAGCAGAAGACAATGTTCTGGAGTAATATGCAACAGGAACCTGAGTTCCATCAGACCTGAGGTGGCTCAGGACAGCTCCAACCCCGTAAGGGGACGCATCACAAGCGATGCACACAGGAAGGGACTCGTTGAAATGTGCAAGTACACTGTTAGAAGTGAGCAAAGCCTTGACTTTGTTAAAACAACCCTCATGCGTTTGTGACCACTGCCACACTGCTTGCTTGTCTAGTAGCCTGTGAAGAGGCTCAGCTACACTAGCTTTTTGTGGAAGAAAAGAATTGTAGAAATTCAGGAGGCCCAGGAAGGCCTGAAGTTCGGCCTTGGACTTTGGCCTAGGTGCTTCTAAAATAGCAGTCAGTTTGGATTCAGCAGGGTGAATCCCAGCAGCATCAATTTTGAACCCCAGAAATTCAGTAGAAGGCACCCCAATCATGCATTTGTCTTTTTTGAGCTTGAGGCCTGATTTCCTGAATCTTAACAGAACAGCTCTTAGCCTTTCAGCTAGAATGTGTGTGGAGTCTCCTGCAATTAAGACATCATCAAAGTAGGGGCAAACCCCCGGTATGCCCCGCAGTGTGTTTTCCATTACGCTTTGGAAAATCCCAGGAGCGACATTCACTCCAAACTGCAGCCTTTTTACCTTTAAAGGCTCCCCTGTGGGTCACAATAGTCTGAGCTATAGCAGCATCATCATCAACAGGCAGCTGTTGATACGCTTGAGCTAGGTCAAGCTTTGCAAAAACGCGCCCCCCCTTGAGGGAGGCCAGAATATGACTGACCACAGGAACAGGATAGGCATGTTGCTGCAATGCCTTATTCAGAGTGCATTTGTAGTCAGCACAAATGCGAATGTCCCCATTTGCCTTTAGAGGCGTGACAATGGGGGTCTCCCAAGGACTGGAATCAACAGGTTCTAGGATTCCCTGTTGAATCAGTTTGTCTAACTCAGTGTCAATTTTACTCTTTAAAGCAAAAGGGACCCTTCTTGCTTTAATTCTAATGGGAGTGACAGTGGGGTCTAGCTTTAAGGACACAGGGGGTCCTTTGAATGTGCCCAGCTGGGGGCTGAAAACATCTGCAAATTCTTTGCAGACTTCCTGTAGGTCGAGTGTTTGTAAACTGTTGAGTCCTGTGACGTGTATCCCCAGGGCCTCAAACCAATCGAGTCCTATGAGACTCGTTCGTTCACCCCCTACTACTAATAAGTCTAGTGGACCTTCAAAACTCTTGTATTGCACGTTAAGGGTGGCCTCCCCCTTAACACACACTCTTGAATTTTGAAAATCTGTTAACACAATGTCAGAAGGCCTTAACTTGGCCTGAGTTCCACTACCGGAACAAATCTTCCTAAATGTATGCAAGGAGATAATTGAAAAGGCAGACCCTGTGTCTAGTTCCATAGATAATGGAACCCCTTGTAGCTTCACCTTGAGTGACAGCTTTTTCTTAATGGGCTTGTGTGTGCCTGTCCTAAGGATGCTTCTTCGCGAAGCGCAAAACCCTACCCTATTCTGGCTGGGGAATCTGGTACCTTTCAGGCGCAGTTCTTCCTGAGGTTGTACCTTTCGTCGGCCCAGACACACAGCTGCAATGTGTCCTTGTTTGCCGCATGCCCGGCAGGTAGCGGAGCGGAACTTGCAGTCGGTTCTCCTGTGGCGACCTCCACAGCCGATGCACTTGAGCGGAGCTGAAGAGCTTCCCTTCTGTTTTTCTTCCTTCGTGGGGTGGAGACGGTCGACTTCCTCGTCCGGATCCTCCTCGGAGTTTCTTTGGACGTCTTCCTGGTGCACGGATGCAACCTCTGGACTGTTTCTGATCGGCCGCATGTTCTTGACAGCGCCGCCTGCTGCTTCTTCTGCGGTGACTTCCCTTAAGGCATCTTGGTAGGACAATTCTTCTTTAGCGAAAAGTCTCTGTTGTAGATCTCGATGCCTTAACCCGCACACGAATCGGTCCCTCAGTCGTTCTTCGAGGTCTTTGAACTCGCAGTGCTTGGCGGCCTTCCGTAATGCGGCGATGAATTCTTTGGCCGACTCACCGGGCCGTTGATCCCTCTGCTCGAAGGTGTGGCGCCATGCGATGACGGACATCTTGGGGTGGAAGTGCTCCTTCAGTAGCTTCTTCAGATCTGCGTAGCTTACAGACTCTACTGGAACAGGTGCTGCAAGGTTTTCTGCGATGTCGAAGGCGTCTTGGCCGCAAACACAAAGCAGGGTGGCAGCCTTCAAGCTCTCTTCCCTCACTTGGTTTGCCTTGAAGTAGTTCTCCACCCTGGCTACGTATGACTCCCACCGCTCTGGATGTGAGACGTCGAATTCCGAAAGCCTTCCGATTTTTGCCATCTTCAGGAGACGGGTCTATCAGCCAGCCTACCCCCGAATGCGCACTGGATTGGCGGGTAGCTGCCGAGTCGACGCCGTTCCGCCGCTCAGGACTCACTTGGGTAAGCTTACACTTCTTCCTTTCCAGGCGGTGTAAGGCAATCCCACCTTCGTCGCCAGTGTTGAGTCCGTGGCGGGAAGCAGACACGAGAAGCAGTTGAAGTTCTCAGTTTTCTTTATTCTGCGTTCAGCTTACAAGTAGATGGCTTCAGCAGCTCCCAAAACCTCCCAACTTCTTATATAGACATTTCCCGGGTAAATGCAATACTTTTCCCGCGCCAGCACCCGCGCATGCGCACGGCGCTGGCGACAGCCTGTCTGGTCCCGGGCAGCTTTGCACCTGCCCGGGACTGCCTGCAAACGCCCGAGCCGTTTGCAAGGCTCGGGACATAACAAGCATGAATAAGATTAATCATAGTCTATTTAAAATAGAACTATTAAATTTGGGCTGCAAAAGTCTAAGCAATCTTTAGATGGCAAAAAGAAATATCTTTCTGTTTTTGCTGTCACCTAGTAGTTGTCAATATTTTTGCAGCCCAATCTGAAAGCTCTGATTTGAAAAAAATGGGCTTCTGATTCTTAACTCAATATAGTTTACAGGTTTTGAAAAGCATCTTCACAAAAACTTTTTTTAAATAACTCTGCATGATTTGTCTTTCTGTTTTTTCTTTCTAGGCTTATTGTTTAAAAGGTGCACTTTACTGCTCCCTACAAAAGAGAGACTGAAGTACATATACAAAATACTTTCAGAAGTAAGCATAGATGTTTTCCAAGAAATATTGGATCTGTTAATTTCTATATTTCTATATCTATTATGAACAACATAAGTAAATTAAAAGATAACTTTTTTATACTGCTTGTTTGTAGATTTCCTGTTTCAAATTCAATGGCTGCTCAGATTCTTTGCACTGTTTGGGATTACAATGTTATGGAGTATTTTTACAGGTAAAAGCAACTGAGTCCTTTGTAACGCTTTAAAAATAAATATATTTATTATGGCATAAGCTTTTGCACCTTAGACTCCATTACTGCATGCTGTATAAACTTTACAGCTATATATTCTAAAGTTTCATCTGTTCAACGTTGGGTAAAGACATTGCAGATCTTATTATTTGGTGGACTGTCTTTGTATCCCAAGATAAATCATCTTCTGCACTTTCTCACTGACCATGTTCATTAAATTTCATATTACAAAAAGAAGGAAATAAAACAGTTGTATCATATATTGTCTTCAAACTCTAAAATATTATTTTTATATTTCTGCTGGCTTATTCTGTATGTTTTCAGACCTTAACAGCCGGTTGGGATGAATTTGAATGTCAGCGAGTTTACCATTTTCTCTGTGACCTTACTAGTTTACCTCAGAGAATGCAGAGAGTTGTCAGCAGCAAGCCTGGTAAATAATCCATGTTTGTGAGCGTGTTATAAATTTGGACTTTTGTATCTTGTGATGCCCCTAATAACTGAGAAAGCAATAGTGACTACTGACTTTAAATTTGTAGCAGTGCCATCCAAAATAATTATCTTTCACGCAATTTACAGGGTTTTATCATTAGAAAACTCTAAATGCAAGACTAATACCTAAATGTTATTAATTTGACTAGGAATTTTCCGTAAACTGGAATTGAGGATAAGGACATTTTGCTGCAGTGTACTTCTAAACCATTGGACTCACCAGAGTGATTCGGCATTTTGGCTGACCTGTATTTTAAAGCCATGGCCAATAGTAAATCAAGCTCGGCTGCTGTACCTAATATTTGGGCCTGCATCTACACAGGATGGTAAGCTATTTTAATTAATAAAACACAGAGGTATTCAGCTAGGAGCCTGAAAATAGGAAAGGAAGTGGAATATTAAGCACACAGAAAATCAGTTGCAATCCTGCTAATGATTTTCTAGCAAGATAGCAATTATTAATTCTGAATCTAGAATTGCCTTTCTTTAAATCTCAAGAAATAGGTAGTATGGCTAATTGATATCTCAAGACAAATTCTCCTTCAGTAACTCTTATGCTTAATATCATTCAGGATATGTTGATTGGCAGAATATGATTCAAGGCCCAACAGATGAAAATAGTTTGAAAGAGCTGGCAGATGCTGTTAAACTATTATATGATACAGAAGCAAAGGAATGGACAGCGGATGATGTCATCAGTCTGGTGGATGAGCTTGCAGGTTTGTTTGCACACTTGAATCCAAGATATCATCAAGTCTTTATGTCTCAACCACAACTGGGACCAGCAATTCTATCGTTAAGTGAGGTGATCACTAAGTGAGAAATCACGTGATTTTCCAGAAGATTAACAGGAATGTAGCTAACCTGACTTGGGGGAAGGGTGAGAGAATGTTCCATAAGACCGGTGCCCCACAACAGAAAAGATCCACCTCCTGGGACCCATCAAATGCAATGATGGCACCCACCAAATGTCCTTTCTCCCAGATCTAATGGGACAGTTTATGTAATCAGGGAGAGGCAGTGCCTCAGGATACCTGCCCCCATGCCATGAAGAGCTTTAAAGGTTAAAACCTGTCTTGAATTAGATCCAGAAGCAAATGGGCAGCCAATGGAGTTCATAGAGCAGAGGTATGATATGTTGTGTTCTGGCATTCTGCACCATTATGCTTCTGGAAATTCTTCAAGGTCAGCCTCACATAGAGTGCATTACAGTAATCAAGTTTGGAGGTGTCTAAGGCATGGGTGACTGTCAGCAGAGCCTCCTAATCTAGGAACAGGAGCAACAGGTGCACAACAGAAAGCTCTTTGAGCAGGAGTAATGAGTCAAGAAGGATCCCCAGATTGCACATTGGCTCTCTCTGGGGCAGTGCAACCCCATCCAGCACTAAAGATGGCAAGATTGAGAACCAAATTCAAAACCACTCAGTCTTGCCAGGGTTTAGCTGAAACCTGTTGTTTCCTATGCAGATCCTCACAGCCTCCTGGGATTTACAGCATTGCATAATTTGCTGGAGGCAGAGACTATCATCAATGTATGGAGGGTACATCACCCCATGATAAGAGATGAACTCATCCAGCAGTGTCTTGTAGATGTTAAATAGAAGAGAGCACTGAATCCTACAGCATCCCACAAAGTAGAGGCTAAGGATGGGACATCTCTCCCCAATCACTAGACTGGAACTGATCCCAGAGAAAGCGGGGTAAACCAGCATAATACTGTGCCACTGACCCCCAATCCTCTGACTCATTCCAGAGGGACACCATGGTTGATGGTATCAAAAATCACTGAAAGGTCAAGTAGGGTAAGTTGGATGCACAAACCCATCTCATCTTTTCCAGAGGTCATGTAAAAGTGTGAACGATGCCATTTGCATCCCATACCCAGGTCTGAAACCTGACCGAAAAGGATTCAGATAATCCATTTCATCCATGGTCCTCTGAAGCTGTTGTGCAACCATCTTTTTGATCACTTTCCCCTAAAAGGGAAGTTTAGATAATGGAAGTAAATTGTCCAGTATGGTTGGGTCTAGTGATGGCTTCTATAGGAAAAGTTAAACAAAGTCCTTCTTAAGAGATTAAAAAAAACCCCTCACTCAAAAGAAGATTAACCACTGCTAGAACCTCTTCATCTGATACCTTCCAGCCACTTTAACAAGCCATGAGACACCTGGTTTTTAAGAACAAGTGCTTGAACTCTCTTAGTTCTCATAGTACTCTTGCTCATTATATTATCCACTGAAAAGCAGAAACTAAATCTTAAAAGTACTATAGTTTTATCACTGAACCCCTTTGAAAATCCAAAGTAGTTAATCTTGTTGAATGTTTTTTACTGCTTGTCTTGTGGATTAGATAAATTGGAGTTGTGTTCTGTCTATTTTGAAATAATATTTTCAAATGTAAGAAAATTAAAGTTAAAAGTTAAACATGCATTGTGAATGCTATATGTATCTGCAGGATTTATGATTGTGCTTGTATATATATAAAATCTTTTTTTCTATTTTTATAGTAATCCCTCAGGAATGGCATCTTGAAAACAGTGCTCGGTTTCTTATTTTGTGTGGAAACAACATCTGCTTCCCATTTATGGCTAGTAAAGCTGTGAATGGCCGAGCTGTTGAATTGGCAAGACTGGTGGTGTTCTTGGCACTGGTAATTAATATTTTTCCCTTTCTATGTAGTATTCTCTTCTCTATGTTATGACTTATAAATGGGCCACATGCACTCAAAGTAAGTGACTGCCTTTAATGTGTATTGTACATTTCTGTGAAAGAATAACTGCTGTGAATGAAAATAATCAGGATGAGAGAACGGTATTTAGAACCTGACTGTTTTTTCTTTCTTTTCTATTTTAGTTTTTTTTCTTTGCTCCATACAATTTAACTGAAAATCTTTCATCTCCAATAGGGGAGAACTATAATTTGGCATGTAGAATAAAAGAAATTTAGTTCCAGAGCCAATAACTCTTTTGAGTGAAATAATTTTTAATAAGGATTTAAATTCTTGTGTACTCTTATTTGGATTCCCTCTCCTCAGTGTTCTTTTAACATGATTAAAGTCTTAAATGTGTTCAGCACGATGACGTATTTGATGTCTTATTTAATTTCACCCTTAGCAGTTTCAGGCAATTTGCTAAAATTAACTAACCAGAATAACATTTTAAAAGAGACAAATTAATATATGTCTGAAAATACTTCAAATTAATTACCTTGCTTTAGGAGTGTTTCTATGGCAGCATGTGCATAAATGCAGTTCTTTTAATGCTACTTGTATAATGTCAATTTAGACGTGAATAGTGAAAGCATTTTTATTAAACTTCCATTACAGCAGTCCTTGAAGGAATAGGACATTTGGGATTTTGCCATGCTTACCTAACTTCTTGGCCTGATGTAATTAGTGGACAGGCAGGCAGAACCAGTATACCTAACTTGAGGCATCAGATATGTCAAAACATCCTCATTCGCTTGCATCATATTTATCAGAGCACCTTACAGTATATTAATATTAGCATCATACATTGATACAGATTACACGGCCATCTTCTTGCTTTTTTTCAGGTTGTGAGCCATGTGGGGGGACTGCAGGAATCATATAGCTTTAATTACTGTATAGGAAAAGAGAAATGTTTTAACTTAAGCTCCTTATGTGTATATTAAGTAGAATGAATGCACTGTAACAGCTGAGAGCACTTCTCTGTGAGGGTTTTCTTGCACCAATTCAAAATCAGCTCTGAACTTGCCTGACCTCCTGATACCTACTGGCTTGGGAAGTTAAGCTGATTTGTTTCAGACACTGGGATGAAAAAAATTATTTGAAAACTGGCATTTGTTAGTGTGACTTAGCAAAGCTACCGGTAGTATTTTCAAGAAATTCTTGGTTTACCTTATCTTCCTATGCCTAAATGAAGGCAACTATTTTTCTACACACATACACACACACACACACACACACACACACACACACACACACACATCTCCACTCAGCCTAAGTTATACAGGTGATGAATGCAATATTGGAAGACATGAAAGACCAGGTTAGGGACAGATCATTTTGGGGAAAAAATCTGTGTGGTCACTAAGAGTCAACATGGCTTGATCGCACATAATCAACAGGCATTGTTTGCTACATGTCTTCCCCAGTCCATCCAAGACTAACATACGTAATTTTCATGAGAGCTATGAGACAAACATATGTTTGCTTGTCAGTTTATAGTTCTCAGAAAACACCTCAAGTCAATCATCACTTGCCATTTTAGACCAATAGCCAAACACAAAGAACTATAAGCCAATTAGCATCAGTAACAGTGCCTTCTCCCATTATTTAAGTCTGTATCTAGACCAGGGGTGTCAAACTCAATTTCATTGAGGGCCGCATTAGCATTGTGGTTGCCCTCGTGGGGCCGAGTGGGTGTGGCCAGGATGGGGGCTGCCTAGTGGGTGGAGTGGGTGTGGCCTACTGGGTGGGCACGTCAAGGATGCCTGTGGGGGCCTGGGCAAGAGTGGGACAGATTTGAGGGTCTCTGGCAGAAGGGGGTGGGACTGGGGCAAGTGCCAAGCCATGGTCCATTTCTTTATTCCTCACAAAGGATGACATTTCCCAAGCATGCACCCAGGGGGCGGGGCCGACGCAGCAGGGGCTGGTTCCTCACTGTTTCCAGACGGCCTTGTGGAGCTAAGACTGAATGCGTTTCAGCATACTTGGCCACCACCACAAAATTGTACATTTTGCGGGCCGCATCTGGCCCCCGGGCCTTGTGTTTGACATGTCTGATCTAGATTCACATTCCTCCCACATTTCACCAGAGACAGAGATAATAAATTGGTTTATTAGGTTGCGCACTATTTTTCCTTAGAAGCCCAAGTGGGCATACACTCCTCCCATTTCTCTCCACAATTCCACTAAGAATAATTCTAGAGTCTGCAAATATTTTCAGTGTCTTCCAAACTGTTAATGCTATTATTCCAGAAGTCAGGCTTCCTTTTCCTAATCATGCTATCACCATGCTATAATGAAACCCCAGGAAATGGCAGAAGCTAACTCTTCCAATGGAAGCATAGACATTTTAAGCACCAAACAGCAATACCGTATATTACTATTTATGATACTGTATTTGTTACCTTGACATATCATTCATTACCTTATACATGGGTAAAATGCCATTGGTTTAAAATTACCTGGAAATTATTTGTGCTTGCCGGGTGGCAATTATAATACTATTTGATAGGAGGAAGGGATACTCAGCTATCAGGACTGTGCCTCTAGTTAGAAAGCCATACAGACAGAGTCAGCATGAATCACATGGAATCCTTAAACAGCAAAGATATATCACTTTATCTAGTTTAAGCTACATTTTGTTAAAAAAAAGTAAAAGTAAACAAAAGTCAAACCATCAGAAACCAAGAAAACAACAATTTAAAGATTCTAACCTTTTGAAAGCTGCCATTACTATATTTGCATATGCATGTTTGTATGTATGTCTTTTCAACCCAAAACTTCCATGGAATTATTTCAGATTGAAAAGCACAAAGATAGGAATAAAGAACTGTTGTTTTTTTTTACCATCAAGGACATTTCATTTTGTTGAAGTTTCTGTTCCACCAGGTATGCGAGAAGGACCTCTATTGCATGGACTGGGCTGTAAAAATGATGCAGAAAGTCTGCAATGTTTTCAGTATCTCAAGTGAAAAGAATGTTTTTTTGCAGAGCATAGAGAATGCCTTTGCACAAATTATCATGGATGCTCTACAGTTGGTGATATCTGGTAAGAAATCCAATTACAATAACCGCACCTTAATTGTGATTCTCTGAATCTTCCAGGCAGTATATAGTTAGGTTTTGCTTTTAGATATACTCATAGATATTATGAGTAAAGAGGTTAGATTAAAATCACACTGAAAGAGGAGTAAGTAAAGGTTCAATCCACTACTTCCTAGACCTGGGTAAATTACCCAAAATTGGATAAAAGTACTTTTTCTTTGGATAACAGCGCATGAACCCATTACTTAATATCAACAGGAGCATTTAAACTGACTTAAAGTATTTTATCTACACTGAGTAAAAAGGACTTTCAAATAAGTGGTTTGGGATACTGAAAGAGAAGGTTTGGGAAGCACTGGTTTAATTCTTTCTCCATGTACTATGATCCTGTCAAAAACCAACCCTCTGCCACAAGGAAGAAGCCACCATCTAAGCAAATAGCCTGGATCATCTCATTACTCAATTTCAGTTGAAATTTAATCATATAGTCACATAATTTGGCCTTAGTATATTTACTGAAATGCCTTGCCTTTGATCTGTGCAATTTTCTTCCAAGACAGATTTTCTTTCTTATGTTTTCTTTTTAAAATACATACTGAACAGTGCAGTCGTGCATATTTTTGCATATCAGAACTCCAGTGAGAATATAACATTAAAACTGAATTTCTGGAAATGTCAATCAGCATTTCTTAAAAAAAAAAAAAAGATTTTATGGGGTTTTTTTTAAGTTTAAGAGCTATGGTGGCTCAGTGGCTAGAATGCAGTATTGCAGTACTGCTGACTCCCGGCTGCCAGCAGGTCGGCAGTTCAATTCTCACCAGCTCAAGATTGACTCAGCCTTCCATCCTTCCGAGGTCGGTAAAATGAGGACCCAGATTGTTGGGGGATAACATGCTGACTTTTTTTTTTTACAAACTGCTTAGAGAGGACTGTGAAACACTGTGAAGCAAGCATATAAGTCTAAGTGCTATTGCTATTGCTTTATTTCTGATTAATTCTGATGAATATTCATATGGTTGAAGTATAATATAAACATATATTTTTCTACATGTCATATTAGAAAATTCAGAAATGAAAAATAATATGACTACTATTACTATGAGCATATGAAATATTGCATGGGTTATTGCCTTATATAACAAATATTATGTATTTTCAATACAAATAAATCTTATGTATTTAAAATAAATACAACCAATATAGTCTAAATAAATAGAATCAGATAATAAATAACCAAGAGGAGTAAATATGATCCATGTTTTAATAACATGTCACTCATACATAATTTCTGATGATATTAATTTCATCAATATATTGATGAAATATATTGATGAAATAAAATGTTATCTGCTAGCTTGGGATTTTCAAACTAAGCAAAATCTATATGTCAAATAAAAATATGTATTGTTCAATCTGTTTTTTTATTTTATTTTACTTAGGAGAGCATGATGAAGAAGAGACCAGCTTTTTAAATCTGTTCCATCTGGTCAATGCACAAGCAAATTTTCATAAAGAAATCCTTTATTTAACCATGAACAATGATATGTAATTTTTTTTTTGGTTTTGAATTTTGAAAATATCCTATGAATAAGTAAAATTATTTTGCCCATTATCTTTTTTTAATCTCCATGTGTGGCTGAATGCGTTCTGATCTGCCTTCTAAATACACATTTCATTGGGCTCTTAACTAGGGCTTATTTTGGGGAAAGGGCTTATATTAGGCGCAAGCCAAAAATTCAGTCTAGGGCTTATTTTCTGGGTGGGTCTTATTTTCAGGGAAACACGATATATTATAATATCAAGATTTATTTATTATTAATTTTGCACTTGCTGAGGTGAGTAGTTTAACACACAAATACACAGAGGCATATAAACAAGAATATGCAAAGATTGGAACAGAATATGGAATACAACTTTAATGAAAAAAGCAATAATCTATGTGCTGGTGAACCAAAATAATGCAAACCATTAAAATAACCAGATAAATAATTAATGCAAATGAGCTGAGAGATAGTTATGACCCATGGCCCGGTGACAGATACGTTCTAAAAAAGATTGTAATGGATACGTGCAACATGCAAGATAGCTAACAGCGTTTACCATGCCTCCACAAAACTGCTAAAAAAATGCAACATTGTAAAATGGTGAAACACAGAAATGAACCGAAAGAGAAGAAAGTGAATAATTTCCTTCACATCATTTTATTGCAAGATCTAACTCAATGGGGGAGGAGAAGAACGGGAGGAATAGGATTTCTTCATTTACAAACAATCCTCTGAAGAAGGAGTTGTGTTCTTCTGCAATCCTGTTTCACACAATTCTTCACTGAATCTGTTGATACTGTCTGAACAAATTAGTCTATATTCTGTTTGCAGGAACATCTAACTTTCTAAAGGACTCTTGCAAAATCCAAACAAGATGTTAATATGACAAAATTCATATTATATATAATTTACATACATGAATTGTATGGAATAGGTCAGGGGTAGGCAACCCAAAACACTCAAAGAGCCACTTGGACCCGTTTCACACCAAAAACAAAACACCGGGAGCCGCAAAATCCTTTTGATATCTAAAATGAAGATAACACTGCATATATCCTTTTTTACCTTTATTATAGGAGTGTGTGTGTTTGTGTGTGTGTTTGTGTGTGTGTATATATGTGTGTGTGTGTGTATATGTATACACACACACACACACACACACACATATATATATATACACGTACATACACATACAGGTAAAAAAAGGATATATGCAGTGTTATCTTCATTTTAGATGTTAAAAGGGTCTCTCTCTCTCTCTGTCTCTCTCCCTCCCTCCCTCTCTGCCCTTGGTCTGCCACTCCTCTTCCCCCACTCTCTTTCTTTCTCTCTCTTTCCTCTCTCTCTCCCCCTCCCTCTTTCTCTCTTTCTCTGTCTCTCTTTCTCCCCCCCCATCTGCTGCTCACCTGGCAAGCTTCAAGTTGTTCTCCAACAATCTCCGGGGTAGGCAACCTCGTCTCTTTTATGACTCATGGACTTCAACTCCCAGAATTCCTGAGTCAGCCTAGCTGGGCTAGCTAGCTCTCTCCTGCCCTTCCTGCTTCCTGCTTCCTGCAGAGACGCAGCAAAGGGAGGAGCTCCGCCCAGAAAGCTTTTCAGCTCCTCGGAGAATACTGTGAGTGCAATCTTTTTTTTTTTACACACACACATACACACACACACACAAAGAGAGAGAGAGAGAGAGAGCACACACACACACACACACACACACACACACACACACACACAGAGAGAGAGAGAGAGAGAAGCAGGGAAGCGCAATTGCCTCTCTCTGTCTCTGTCTCTCTCTGCAAAGGCAGAGGAGGCTGGGAGCCACAGGGGAAGGCTCAAAGAGCCGCATGCGGCTCCGGAGCCGCAGGTTGCCGACCTGTGGAATAGGTAGTCTGTGAGGGAGAATTCTCCACTGAAACAGCTTCTCTTCAGGCTTTTACTTCCACAGAGAGTTACGGTACTCTTCTTTTGGAATCCCATTAGAAATAAAGCAGTTGGAAAGATGGAAGAGCATGCAGGTATTTCATGATCAACTTTAATACACTCTGTACCATTTTAGATCATTTGTTATTACATGTGGACAGAGATACAAAAAAAATCATGCTACAAACATCCTTTAATTATGTATATAAGAATCATACCAATTCAGTTATCTTAGCACAAGTGCCATCAGCAACCTGGGTTTCTTATAGTTTGCCTGCAAAATTCCAGAAAACCACTAGATAAGTGTAAAGAATGTTTTCTGTATAATATTTTTTCCCCTGGCATCTAATGGTCAGCTACTACACACTACACTTGATTTTAGCAATTTGTGCAACTCAGAAATGGTAACTTGGTACATGTACTTTGCACAGAATGGTTCACCAAGCAGAATTAGATCCAAACAAACTCAAAGTTGGTTTGAGCTAAAATTGACTTTTCTGAATTATGGATATTAACTGGATTAGGGTAATTTGGTAACAGCCTAGTCCTTCCTCCTTAATCATTTAAATATGTCATGTGAACAGAGTCAAACTGTACAAGTAGTTCAATATTTTAATGAAGGTCTTCAAATCCAGATAATCCCAAGCATGAACCATAAGACTTGAGGAATGGACTACAATACAATAGTAGACCATGCTTTACTTCTAGAACTCTGGAATCCAAAAAAATTCCCATCTGTAATGTATGTAAATAGATGAAGTGGGCTGCAGCTATTATTCAATATAAGGTAGCTTCTTCCTTATTGAGCTACATAGGATTATTAGAGTACAAAATTTAACATAGGCAAGGACAATCTAACCTATGCAACATTCCAAAAAGTTCCAAGGATAAGTCAGTGCAGTGTAGTAATTAGGGCATTAGTGATCCAGAAAAGATCCTTGGAAGATGTGGAATTTTGGACATTTATTTCTATTTAGCTGGAAGATGGAAAAACTGGCCACATGATTATTTGCCTTTGCTACTAGGCTAGGCCTCAAAGGTTTATACCTACCAAGCTATTATTTCCTAATTGTGTATCCTTCTGCTGTTGAGGATTTGTGTTCCCATTAATACAGACATTGTAGTAATAATGGGATTTGTAATTCAATACACCGTATTTGGACTAGGATGGGGAAAACTGTCAGAAATTTTAAATTCTATACAATATCAGATCAGATCTGGCCTACAAAAATCCACATAACCACTAGATGGCAGCAAGGCATTACAGGTTTTTTAAAATCTCTGCTACCTTGCAGTGGTTCTCTGGATTTCTGCCAGTAGTTACATTTCCACAGAAAAATGATCTGCTTCATCACTTCAGGGGATTTCCTTTGAGCAGTCCACTTGCAAAGTTTATCTCCCTTTTTTGCTTTAAAAACTGTGGCTTAGACTCACTTCCACAGTTCTTTGGGAGTAACATATTCATTTGTATCAAGAAAAGAGGAAGTATATACAGTAAATATATAGTAAACCATTTTACTGTATATTTATTAAATTGAAGAAGCATAATTAATGAACGTGTCCAATTCAGTTCGGTTATGTCTAATTCTCACAGAACCCTGTTGTCAATCGCTTACGGTTGGCAGTATATAATTTCAGCAGTAAGAAAAGAATTGTTGCTTATTTATATATTTTGTTTAAAACATTTATGTAGCTTCTCATCTTATCCCAAACTCTGGGCAGCTTCTAATTAAAATCAGAATGTTTGGGCCCTCTGTACACAGCGCTGGAGCCTTAGGTGAGTAGCAGATAGCCAACCACATGAGAAGCAGCATGCAACAAAGCATGTACATATTTCCTGCATTGTAAAGTATTCTCTGTGGTCTCCACAATACATCACTTATTTATTTAAAATATTTTAAGGACATCTTTAAAAACAATAACCTTCCCCTGGTTGCTTACAAGAATAACATCCAATAGAGTAAACAAAATAAAATAGTATAATAATCCATAATAAAAAAATTATAAATTACAGCAATTAAAACATTGGGTAAACAATGCTAAAATACAATAAATTGCAGTTAAATCCCAGAAGAGGCTAATAACACCAACTTAGAGGAAAGTTAACAAAAATGGACAATACAGTTTTATTATGTAAGGATTCCTCATATTATCTTCTGATTCTTAGAGTTTTGTCTTTTGATGATTATTTTGATTATTAATGAAACAAAGAAAAACATAACCTTTATTTTTGCACTAGCAAGGACAAAAGTATGAAACAAGTACTTTAAAGCCATCTTGCTTGATTATCTTTTAAAAATAGTCAAGGGTTAGTGTTCTTGTGGATATGTATGTCATGGTCACTGGTTGAGCTGATGCACTCTGAGATTCTGCATTTTGAATGTAGTACTTTAATTGAAGCACTCTCCCAAACAACTACTTTTTTGGCCCAGTTATACAGAGTGGGTTAAACATCATTGCATCAATAACTGGGAAAATGTGTTCTGTTTTCTATTAAAAGCTTTGAAAGAACTTGCAAATATTCTTCTGACTTTGAATTACTGGTCAGTTTTATCTTTGTTTACATGCTTCAGTGAAGTGAAAATGTTCAAAGATTGAAAATCAAAATATATTCCAAGATCAATTTATTTTTAACAAATTATAAATAAACATACCTATACACACACACACAGGCATACAGTATAAATCTCAAATAACGTTGCTATTTATGAACCATCTCATTAAGCAGGTGTTTTTTTTTTGTTTTTTTTTACTAAAGATTATTCATGTATGGGGAAGACACAATGTCAGGTGGGATTTCATAGAAAATGCTAAGAGATTGTTACATAAAGCAAAAAGAAAGTGTGAAGAATGCATAATCGAGGACCTAGCAATAATAAAGCAGTTAGCAGGACAATTCTGAGGAGCAGTGAGGCCATACCAGAAAATCATTGAAGCCAAAGTCCAGGTCACGTTCAGCAGAGCAAAAGAAACATGCTTCCAAGTGCAGCCCCTTTGGCTCTTAAATGAAGGTTCATGCCTCAACCTCTGAAAAGGAGATTCCTCCTAAGAGCTTCAAATCCAAAAGCCTGCATGTCACGTGGGGGGGGAGGGGAGGAAGGAAGGAAGACTATAGACCTGAGGAAGTGATCTTTCCTGTGTGTCTGGCTTAGCTCAGCTCAGGCCAGCAAAGAGCAAAAGACAGTGGGAACGCCTTCTGTGGACTTGCCAAGGGATGCACAACATTGCAAAAAGGGCCTTGGGAGTCTGCCAGTCCATTCAGCCGAGTAACTCCCTGAAAACAGAATGGGTGTTTGGTGTGCTGAGAGAATTTGACAAAACAAAACTGAATTTGAAAATGAACTGAGTTCAGCTGTGGGCTACACAAAAAGAGGGGGGGTGGAAATCTGCTCTCAAACCCTTCCCCTCATGTGACCCAGGGCAGAGATGCTTTTAAGAGAAGGAATTTCCAAAGGCCTGATTCATCCCCTTGCCTGCTTTCGGGTGCCAGCGTTTGCATTTAATTTGTCCCCTATTACTGACTTAAATGGTAGGTATAATACAGCAACTGTAACCCAGATGCCCTCCCCCTGCAACCTCTAATGCATCTCAGTAGCCATTTTTACAGGGGCACACTGGCACTTTTCTTCTGCGGGAGGGGGGTAGTCTGAGAAAAATTGCTTGTTGGCATAACTGATACAAGGAAAAAAAGAGATTTTAACTATATATTCTCAGTATTATTAACATCTTAGTTAATGAAAAATCTATGACACACATAGGTATTGTGTCTAAGAAGTTAGGGTTAGATATCTTCCTCTATTATGAAATTAAAATAATTGGCTAAATGGGTTTGCCTGAGTATTGTCAGTCAATCCATCCCTAAGCTGATAATTGGGTTTCACAAACCTTAAAGTAAAAATAGGTGTATAATGCCCTGATTTCCACAGATAGAGGAAAAAAATAAAGATCCCTAGTGAATCATTTAAAAATGGTAGCAGTCTATCCACAAAGCAGAAAATTGCAGAACAAGGACTCACATCTTGTATCTGACACAATCAGGAATCTGGTAGCATCTTTTCTG